AAATTTATATTTTTGTTGTTGTTGGTTTTATTAAATCTTTATCTAGGGATTATAACTTCATGAGTATTAACCCTTTCATGCATGACGGTCACTACAGTGGACAGCTATTAAAATGTCATTTTCTATAAGAATAGGTTTTGACGGCAGTGTTGCATATAAGCCTCTACAGTGGATTCTCAGGCGTCCACTGTAGAGGCTTATATGCAACACTGCCATCAAAACCTATTCTTATCATAGAAAATGACATTTTAATAGCTGTCCACCGTAGTGACCGTCATGCATGAAAGGGTTAAATAATAAAAAAAAATACAACATAATTTAAAACAACTTTTGATATTTTGGTTGTGTTTTTTATCACAAAAGTTTTGAACACAAACATGATGCAACTGTTTTAATGAAGAAAATATTGTAGTTCAGGAGACACAGTGGTTTGGTCTAGTGCTGTGTTTCCCAAACTTTTTTTTTCTGCGGACTGGATATTTCAAAAGTCACAAACCTTTGCGACCCAAGTCAATAGATTATTCGTAAACTCGTAGGAAACATGACACAAGACAAACCAAAAAAAAAAAAACCCAAACTCTTGCGATCCACCTCAGCGCCCCGACCCAGTCTTTGAGAAACAATGGTCCAGTGATAGTAAACTTCCTGGAACACACTGAGCGTCCCTGAGCAAGATACCATACTGTACCCACAAATGCTCCTGAAGTCCCGTCAGTGAATCTTGTAGAGTGTGCACTGCCTTAAGTTGGACCGACAGACAGAAAAGTACTATAAATGTAGTTAAGTCCAGATGTTTTCACTGCAAAAGGACTCTTCAAATGTCAAACCACTTTTGGTTGCACTGTAGCAAACATTTTCAGGCAGCTATTAACCTCTGCATGTGTGGTGTGTGAGTGATTTTACAAACTGGAGACCGTCAGTGCCAGGAGAAATCTCCCAGATGTGTACACAGGGCTTCAACCGTCCTACCTTTGGAGATGTTGGTAGAAAAAAAAAAAAAAAAAAAACTCTTAAGCTTTGCATATTGATTACCCTCCAGAGACTGTACACTACATCACTGTATTGCAATATGTGAAGTTACTTAGAAACTTCTGGGTTCTTTGATGGTTTATCCCTCTCCCATCTTTGTCCTGCTATTCCAGGCCTCCCACCCACCTTTATGTCTGTTATCCCCCCTACACCCCCCCACCCCTTTCCCACCCATACAGCCTTTCTCATCCTGTCATCCTTGGGCCGGTGGTCTGTCCCTGTGGGAGGTTAAGGGGCATCGTGGGTGAGAGGGCAGTCGGCAGGTTGTGCGAGCACCACACTCCTCTTTTCCCACAGCTTGCGTCAGATAATGCTGAACCCTGACCCTGCTCGGTCCTCACTTTCAAAAATCAGAGTGGGACTCAATTCAGCCAGACAGACCCTATTCAGGACTGAACTTTCCATTGGTGGAGAAAAGAATCCCCCCATCACAATTGTAGTCGGTGCCCTTCCTTTGTCTGCTGGTCAAGCGGGGTCGGACGACCGGCCGCCACTAGCCAGGACAAGACTTCCGAAAAGCCTATTCAGCATATGATTTGACCCCCAGGGTCCACTCCTGACTCACAGGGATCAAACACTGGGAATCCCGAAGGGGGGGTGAGGGGGGGCGGCGGGGTCTTCCATAGAAGTTATCATCCATTGAAACTTACCCTTTTCAAAACACCCAAAAAGTGACTAGGATGATTTCTTTTTTTTTTTCTTTTTTTTTTTTTTTTACTTTTTAAAGACAGTATGGCAGTGTTTAAAGAAAAGAAGCTTGATCTGGGCTCCATGGAAGTGATTAGGAGAGACTTCTGTTTCAGTCTGCTTTGTTCTTTCTTCCGAAATACCTTGATGCTTGTTATTAAGTTTATGCCATTAGCCGAAACAGAATGCGCACATGGGGCAGCTTTCATTCTTGACAGTTGTGGTATGAAACATCTCAGTGTTGTGGGTGAGGCAGCTGGTGCTTGGGCTGTGCATTGGCTGTGTAACCTCCGATTCCCTGGTAATGATTAAAGCTCGTCAGGAGCAGCTTTGTCATGGAGGCAATTAATAGTGCATAAAAATAATTACATTACTGAAGTACATGAAATGTCATTTTTGGTGCTGCGGGCACTAGGCATGATAACCCGGCGTATACCGAGCAGAAAGTACGTAAAGAGATGACTTATGTGTGGATTTAATAAAATTCACATTCATGGAGTGATTTAGTGTGAATTAGAGCCAGACTAGAAACAGCTGGAGAAGGTGCGTGTAATGTGAGTTTTATGTTCTGTCCAAACAAACTGTGTTCCCATATTTCTCTTTGTGTTCTCATTAGTCTCTTTGTTTTCTTATTAGTATTTGGTGTCTTGGTCTGTTATCTATACTGTAAGAAACATCTGTGTGATTAATTAACCGGACAAACACAAACGTATACTTGCGCAGACACGTGAGGACGAGGTCGTGATTACGGATAGATGAAGGCATGCAAGGCAAAAAAAAAAAGACAATAAAATCCAGGAACCTTGAATTTCAAATATGATTGTCCCATGGTATGTGTGTTTTTAAGTAATAGCGGGTGAATGAGTCTGCGTGTGCGCATACGCATGTGTGTGCATGCGTGCAGACCCCATCTCGACTTGACGCATGGTTTAAATCTTTTGCAGAGGGGGAGCACTTTGATTGTAATGCCGCGTGCTGTGTGCTGAAGCGGGGGCCTGTTGCAGCTTTCAGCCTGGTCAACTGTCAGGACTGGAGCGTGAAAAAGGGCCTCAGAGTGAAAGGGGTGGAGGGTCCCCACTAGGGGGGTCTGAGAGGAGGAGGGAGGGCTGGTGACAGACCTCCTGGGCTTAGAGGGCCCTCTGTGTGGGCTGCTTCTGCAACCCAGCCCTTTTCACAACATGGAGGGCGGGCTCAAGGGAAGGTGGTGGCATATCGGCCCCTGCGGCAGTTAGCATGGGCAGGACGCCAGCTCACCCGTTCAAGTTCCACCGACCAGATGTTCCTTGTCAGGGAGCTCTTGGCCTTTAATAAATTGAGTTACTGTAAATCTGTTATAAAGCAAGACAAACACGAATTCCCTCCACCCTGCTCCCCGACCTGCGACTTTTCTCTCATCTGAAAAATTCTGCCCTCACAGACTATTCTTAGTGTCCTTTAGGTCAACCCCTGGGGAAGGGGCCATGTCCCGGCTACTGAACCTGCCAGTCATTTTCCACACTACACGAGAGGACGGATGTTTTCCTTCCCCTTTGCCCCCAACCTGCACTCTAACTATAGAAAATGTCAGTCATGCCTCTAGACTGTAACAACATTAGGTTCCTGACCTTCAGTTCTTGATCTCTTTCAGGAACCTGACCCAAAGTGAACTGTATTTTGAGATGACGAGTATAACACAACCACATGAAACTGCTTGTAAACTTTAAGCACATTTTACTCGCAGCCATCCCATCTATGGCAGATAAATGTCACAAACTGAAGTCGCTTTTTCAAGAGGAGAATTATGCAACTATTTTTACCTACTCTTTACAAGTTCCCCTACCAACAGGAGCTACTGAATATTTAGTGAGTAAATCCTAGGTTCCGGAGTTAAGTTTGTTGACAAATTATTGCAGTTTTATGTAACTCCAATCACATAAAAATGTAATTTTAGATACTAGTGTTTGCCCATTTGAACTCACGCCCATCACATCCCAATATACATCGTATTCTGAGACATGTATTATCAGTATTTTTTCATGCTGATAATCAAATTGTACTTAACTCTGCACCTTTCTACACCTCACTTCTTGGAGTTGTACTGTTACACCCCTTTGGGTCTACCTTCTTTTGTTAAACCATTCCACAGAAGAAAGAAAAAAAAACATGCATACCTGATTTGATCTGTTTCTATGAACGTTGTATAACTTTATGTTTTGGGAAAGTCCTGAAGATTTTCCCTCAAAGTATATTTGAACGTGTGTTTTGACTCACCGACTGCGTCTGCTGCTGTAACTATCAGATGTGAGACACTAGTCTTTTATCATGCAGGAATTTACAGAGAAGATCTACCCATTGTCCCAATGAAAATATTATCAGGAACATCTTTTAGATGTGTTTTCAGAATTGCACTCTATATGGAAAGGACATTATCACTGTGTAGACTCTGGAGTGCACTAGCATTGTTCCAAAGAGCTCACCGAAAGGGTTGGCAAGAATGTCCCCAGTGCAGTCTGTGCTTAGATTTACAGTACCTCCGAGGATGCCTCTGATCTGGCAGTGGTCAGTTGGCTTTGAAGAGAACTGTTCCGCAAGTGAATCACTTTGAACCTGCACTGAGCTGAGCCTCGGGGAGTCCCGTGGTCCCCTGAGTGGAACAGGACAGTAAATCTAAAAGCAGCTCACTTTTTTTGCACTGTGACATGGGGACTCGAGTCTTAATTTGATGTCTGCTGAATCTTCTGTTTCAACGGTATTACAGCTATGGCTAAGTTTCAGGGTGGCCTCGGTGCTTTTATGTGCTGACTAGGCCTGGGATGTCCATATCTTTTCTGTCTTCCGCCTCTTCACTCTGGATGCTTGACTTTAGGGCTTTTAGTACTATGGTTTTAAGATCCAGCATTTTTTTTCTAAATAATATTTAATTCCACAATTGCTGTAGTGTTCTATATGGGCCACAGATGTATTAGCTACAGCTACTGACTTTTATATATTGAGGTCTTGAAACATACTGGGTATTTATGATTGGTTGTTACTCCAAAAAAAAAAAAATCAAAATGACATTGAATCAAATTTGTTTTTTTAAGACAATAAAGATATTCTAGGTTAGCACTTTCCAGTCTCGGGTTGTTGCAAATATTGGAAATATCCTTCAAAGTAATACAATAAGTGATACAGACACAAACATGTGGTAGCATTAGGAATGTGCACTATACTGAGTTCAAGATGCTTAATATTATGGAAAAAACCTTTCTAACAAGAAAGAAGTGTGGAAACCTCATGTAATACTTTATCAAATCTGTTTTCAGCATTTAGCAGATTTCCAGCCATAAAGGGGAACAAAGAATTGGGATTGAGAAGGAAAGATATGACCTGAAGCCACAAAAGTCTGCAGCTGGACCCTAGTCATGGTGTTGGATATGACGCGCACCATAATCAATGGAACTATTTCAAACCAAACTATTTCACTCCCTTTAGTGAATTATTTCAATTACTGCTATCAAAGTTGTTTTTTGCGTTGTTTACGACTTGACAACAAAGGCAGGAACCTGATGTTAGTTTAACCTATGGCTGATCACAAATATTTTATTCAGTAAAATCCATTAAACGATTACATTACAGGGCATGTCATGTAAAAAAGAAAAAAGAAATCAGAAAAATATTTTTGACTGGCTGGTGTTTTGGAAGATTGAAAAAGGAAAAATGCATATTGGATTCATCTGATCCTGAAAGAAAATCTGTTTTTTTTTTTTCCCCTAACGTCTCAAAGATCATTCAGCAGATTAAATCAAATTAAACCTTGAACCTATTGTGATTAAACAGACTTTTTATTTAAATAAAGATACAAACCTGTGGCATTACAACTGTTATTGTCTTCAAATAGGTTGAGGGCCCTTTATTTACTGACCAGTGTGCTGTTTCATTTGACACCTCTGTCTCTCGCTCACTGTTTGTGGTGCAGTGTTTGTTTTTTCACGGGCTTCCCAAATGTTCCTCTCTTGGGGACCTCCAGGTTCTAATGCCTTTAAAGCTCCTTAACTAAGCTGGAAAAGCAAACAGAGTCATATCTATTATATGGTAAGTAGATCTCCCATTACCAAGCCATTCCGACACAGTTGCCGGCGCAGGTCACTTTTGAAGTGACTGATACCTTCATAGGGGCCAACGTGTCAGGAAAGTGTAATGGATTGTCTTGGATATTTGAGTATGCCACTTTCTCTAGTTCAGAGATCCCTTTAATGCGTCCCTTTTCAGGTATGTAGCAAAACCATGTGGTCGGGGTTTCACACATGACAGTTGGTCTGTTTACATGACCTCTGAGGAAAGTTGAAGAAACTTTTTTTTTTTTTTTTTTTTTTTTTAAACATTGAATTGAGTTCTCATAGTCAGACTAACACATCTTTATAATGTAAGGTCACGCCTACACTTCTTACACACGCTGCCTTTGGACCCCAAAGGGTGTAAAGTTGTTGGCACAGTCTAGTAGTGTCTTTTGGAAGTAATGTAAGGGAATAGTTGTGGACTATGCTTGACCTGGTCAGCCAGGACAAAGCGCTTATTTACGTACAATAACGCTTGCCCACTACCAGCAGGCTCTGGGTTTGATGTCACCAAATCCCAGGTTGGTTTGCGTCAAGGGAAACATTTGCTGTGGTCATTTCATCCTTAGAGCTTTAAAAGTATATAACTATTCTGTTGTTGTAGTTGTGATTCTCAAAGACATTTCACCACCAAATTTCACATTTCACCACGAAAAGGCCTCTTTGATTGAACCTGACGGATAAAACTAGTTAGCCTCAGTGGTTGGAATACCAGATTTTGTTTTTGTTTACCAATTCTTTTCACAATCTTTACAACTTCAACATTTTCATTTATGGGGCTGGAATGGCAATTATTATTATTATTGTTATTATTATTATTATTATTATTTTTATTATTATTAATTATTTATTTATTTTTTATTTATATTATTATTATTATTAACAGTGTTGTAAATTCTCTATAATTCTCTAAAAGAGTTTTTTTTTTGTTTGGGTCGTCTCACATCATGTTTCCCAGGAGTTTACCAATAATGTCTGTTGACTTTGGGACGTGAAGTCTGTAACTTTTAAAATATGGGTCCCCAAAAAAAAAAAGGTTTAGGAAACACTGGTCTACACCACAGTCAAGTGATTTAGAGGCAACAGTCAAGTAATCTTCAAATCTTCTACATCAACAAAAATCTTGGCTCTGGTCCAGCTACACTGGCCACGTCTTCACCTTCAAAAAGCTCATGATATTTTAGTATTAACCTATGTTTTGAAAAAAGTTGAATTATGTTAAAGCTCTTTTCTAAAATGCAGCATATCCAAAGATGTGAATGACCATTTCCCCCGGCCTCACTATTGGTGACTGGAACCACATGTGCTTTCAATCCCAGTGAAACCCTCAAGGTTGAAATCATTATTTCTTCAATGAGTTAATTACTTATCCTTGGTCCACAGAGAAGCTAAGCTAGTTGCCTGTAGACAAGAAATGTTTAAAAGACGACTTATCTGTACAAACATTTTTTTTTATCAGCATTTGTTTATGTTTGGGCTTTTTTTTTTTAACATGGCTCAAAGGCAACGTCTTCTCTAGTGAACATTTCCTGCTCTTTTCTTTGTGATCTTATTACTTAAACAGGAAGAAATTATTACTATTATTTGATATCATCAAATATGCCTATCGATATTTTTCTCAGGCGTTTGGATCCCGGGGCAAGAGTGAGAGCCAGATTTGACAAAAAGCTCGCCTTAGATGAGAAGCTGAGAGTTGACAGCACAGGTCATTTAACTTTCTTTGACGATACAGATCAGCAGCAGGAGTTTATCCAGCAAACCTACGTCTGTTCCATCTGGCTTTGCTGTTAACTTCTGCAAAGAATGCTGAAGCTAACTTAAGATTTCCCCAAAATGTGTGCATAGTCCAGGTTTGTTGAAGCGTGGCAAGTCTTTTTTATCTCAACAATCCTGTACACGTCATGCCTACCCAACACAAACTTTTCACATGGACTTCTTCCTTCAGCTTCAACAGTAAATGATAGTTTATTTAAACTGCAAATTAAACAATTCAGACATTATTCAACATGAACGCTGTTATTCATTTATTTTATTTTTTTTAGCAATTTAATTAAGTGTTGTCTGTGAGCGTTTAACATCCTAACAAAGCTGTAGCTGCGGCATCAGTCGGTGCAGCCTGAAGTCAAAGCTAAGTAACACAACCTACCTTTTAATTACACCGGCTGCTTCACCTGACCCGTAGAATAGGGTTTCAAGTTCAAATGAGAATTTTTTTATTGTTGTCTGGCTTTGGCCGATAGCCAGGCTGCTTGCAGTAGCCATGTTGCAATCTGTTATTTGCGTCAGCAGTGTCAGCAGACGTATCACTGAGAGTGCATGCGGTGCTTTGATAAGCTATCTGTTTCCACTTTAGATGATTGTTGCATAGATGGTTTTTCATCCTTGGAGCTTTGAAATTCTTTCCTTTTTTTTTTTTCCTCCCGCCTCTACCCCTCCTCCCCTTCGCATCTGCCCGGTGTGACAGCCATCAACATGTTGAATCTTAAGGTTGAACACAAATTAATCCAAAGTGTGTATATCTCATATCTAATCACTGGGCTCCTTGACAGACTGGCAGTCTGTTCTTCTTGGACTGCCTATAGGTGTGAATGTGAGCATGAGGTTGTTTCATGGCGTTTGTGTGGTATCTCAGTGGGAGAATGGGAACCTGTTGCATGCTGGGAGAAGATGCACGCCAAGCTATGAACCTTGTTTTTACTCCACTTCCTGTCTTTAGAATCATCCGCTTTTAACATGTGATCCCAGGTGTCAACATCGTGTACGGTCTTTTCGTGACCGTCAACAGGAGCAACAACCGACGTGCACTCTTTCACCTGGAACTCTGTAATGAAGCAACTCTTTTGGTTGCTTTTTTTTTTTTTTTTTCTAAATCGTGAAGAAATGTTACTTGTTTCTCTTCATGCTCAGTTTTTTTTTTAGTCAGCTGCTTCATTACCTCATCCTCTTTCAATCACTTTTAAGCTTTTTGACATTAAGATATAATTTCACAGCTCATTAAGTAGAATTTTCATATTTCTGTAAGTGCCTTAAAAAAAAGATAGAACTGCAAATAATTTTTCTTAAAAACGTTTTGACCTCTTGTCTTTGTTCAAAAAACATGTAGGTATTTGAATTGCTGACACTTTTAAATTTAATATTCCTCACAAAAACGGTTATAAAGGGGGCGTTTGTTTTGTATCACTAGAGTTTGCTGTAGAACTGCACAGTACTGCAGTACTTGGACTCCCTGTCCTGGTATCGCAACTTTATTCGAAATAACTTTTTTTTTCCACTCAGATCAGTTTTCACTGCTACACAGATGAACCGAAATCCTATATCATAATTAAAGATATATAATGACAACGTTAAAGCATCAAAACTTTCCAGCTGCACTTCACTACAAACGTTAGCATGTAGGTGAGCAGGTGAGAGAGAGTTCAGGTTTTAAAGTACTTGAAGTACTCAGATATACTACTTCTAAATGCTAATAAAAAGGGAATGTAAGAAAGTGTTGTCCGTTCTCTTGCCCCACAGTAATAAGGTCAGCAGGTTGCCGGTTTGATTACTGATCTTACTGTGTGGAGTATGGCATTGTTATCCAGGTCCACTCTGGTTTCCTGCAACGGTCCAAAAGCCTGAAGATTATGGTTATTATGTGGTTGGATGTGGTTCTATAGTGTAGCGATAAGCACCAAAGACTGGGTCGCGACTCTCAGATGGGTCGCAAGAAATTTTTTTTGCGGGGGGGGTTGGTCATCTTGCATCATGTTTCCCAGGAGTTCACGAATAAATTCTTGGGTCGTGAAGGTTTGTGACTTTTCTGAATTTTGGGAAACACTGAGTTAGCACACCTGCCTCAGAAGCGAGAGCAGAGAGTCCTGGGTTCGATTCCCAGAAGAACCACATGCTTGATAACCTTAAACCTCCTCTGTAAGTCGCTTTGAAAAGCCTCAGGAAAGTCCTCACAGAGACAGAACAAGTCAATACAACCGTCAACGTTTTAACAGCTCTACCGTCTGCATCAGACCTGTTAGCAATTTTTGTATAAGTTGCTTTCTCCCATGCATAAGGCACAGTCCCCTCGCACTGTATGACCCAGGAGAAGCCAGACGGGCTGACCCACCGGTCATCCCAGCAGCCATCTGCCAACTGCCTCACGCAAATTCCTTAAGCTAGAATAAGTGTGCTTAGAGGAGTTAATCTGGGAGAAACTGGTTTGGGCCACAATGTGGACTGACAGAAACGACCGGACCAACAGATTACGTGGTTTCCTGTACTTTGGATTCTTCAATGTCACCGTCGTGGGTGTTTTCGTGAACGCTTGGCTGCAGAGCGGTGCTGAAAACTTTATAAGTGAGCGTGTGTCGTGGGTGAGATCAGTTGTCCGTCACACCGTCAGATGCCTCTGGGTGCCGTCTGTTGTCCGGTGAGGGGCGGGGAGAGAAGCTCGAGCCTTGTCTGCGCTCTCACAGAGGTCACTGCTGGCCCTTTGATTGTCTGCCAGTGCAGAGGACAGAGTCTTCCAGAAGAGGGCCTGGGCTACTGGCAGACGAGTGAGCCAGACAGGCAGCCAGCCGCATCGTCTGCAGTCCAGGTCTGGGGCTAGAGCCCGGACTAGGACGGTCTCGAGTTACCCAGACAGATTTGTTAACACTGTTTGGGTCCGCTCGGCTTTCGAGGCCGGCCTCCGAGCCAAACGCGGCCCGAGGTGACTTAATCTGTCATTAAACTCGCATTATACTCGGACAGAGACTCCGTTCCGAGGGGCAGAGACGACGGCGCTCGCTCTCCCACTCACTGGCATGGCTGGCTGGATATGAGCAGACACAAAGAATAACCCCCCCGCCTCCTCCTCCTACACCTCCTCCCTCACCCATCCTCCCCATCCTCTTCATGCCACACACCATGGCACAGCTAGACAGCGCTGCACGGTCTAGACAAAAGCAATTTCACTCAAAGTTGAAGAGTCATTTGCCTGTGTGACGGGCAGCCGCGTGGATTCGTCGGTGTCTTTACATGGAGCTCACATCTATCTGTCTCCCCGAGTCGCTCGTGTTGCTCTGGAGAAGACTGAGCAACATGAGAATCATTTGGAGAATTTGTTCAGCCTAGTAAAACTATGCAGCCCTGCTCCTTCAACACTGAACAGATGGTGATGAAAGCCTTATTTTTTTTATTATTTTTTTTGCAAAATTGTGTTTTAAATGTTTGACTTTAAACAAATTTAAAAGCAGATTAAAATGATTTGTAGCAAAAAAAAAAGTTCGTCTTTCGGCTATCTCAACGAGAAGGCTTTAAGATGGTGTTAAAAAATAAAAAAAATAACAGAAATATTTTTTACTTCCTTATTTTGATGATTTGTGACACTCGAACAACGTCAGTCTTGTCTGAACTGGACATCCACACACATTTGGTTTAAAGTTTTCTGTGTCACATTTTCACCTCATTCGTCTTTGACCTCCCCATCAGACTACGACTACAACTCTGACTCCGACTCAGACTCCGACTCCGACTCTGATTACGACTCAGACTCCGACTCTGACTCCGACTCTGACTCAGACTCTGACTCTGACTCCGACTCTGATTCCGACTCTGACTCCGACTCCGATTCCGACTCCGACTCCGACTCTGACTCCGACTCTGACTCAGACTCCAACTCTGATTCCGACTCTGACTCTGACTCCGACTCAGACTCCCACTCCGACTCCTACCCAGACTCAGACTCTGATTCCGACTCATACTCAAATACCAAACTGTAATACTGTAGTTCTATAAC